TAGTGGATCACCGGCCTGCAGAGGGCGCTCTGGGCTGGATATTGAGCTAATTCCCAGAGGACAACCATCAGGAGGCACCACAGGGGTGAGTCCAATGTGCTACAAGAAGGCATTATTTGATCAATGCCTGCTTCTGCTTCCACTGACACCAGTGAGAATTTTATAATTACATTTCAATGAGAGCATGACAGGGCCGCCAGTATTTAGCTGTCATAGTGCCTATAAGAAAGTAATTACTCATCTCCACTTTGATAAGAAGAGATAGAAAGAATGAAGGGCTAACTTGATGAATACCTCACCTCAGCTCTTGCCACAGTCTGCTACAACAGTTCTGCTCCAGCATCCCTAGGTATCCATTACTATCTGCTCTGCAGCTGAGGTGAGTTTTGCTTTGTACTGGAGTATCTCAGTATGCTGTGGGCTGCTCTGTCACCATGGTTGCAGCAGCGATGTGTTTTCGGTAATAGTGTAAACATCTTCTCTGGACACCCCCAATCTTTACTGAAATAGAGTTTCTGTTATGCAATATTGCGGCACAGTATTCTGGGGTCCCCTTCAAAGGCAAGCAGTAACAAAATGCAATTGTAGAATAGATAAGTGGATGGTTGGTGGTAAAGGTGCAGGTGGGGAAGCTGAGTGGATGGGACATGGAGCAGTGTTTGGGGATTTAAAGAAATGATAGAGCAGAACCTTTTCTTAAGAATCATGTTGAAAGGAATAAGTTACAAACTGGGGTTAGGATCAGGTCCACAAAGCTATTTAGGCCCCTAACTTGAAATCAATGGAAGTTTGGACCTTAAATATCTTTGAGGATCAGGGCCTAGGTAATTATTATAGAGGTTGCTCAAGGTCTGATGTGGATGTAATCATTGTTTTGTGTTTATCCACTTCTTATTTATAATTAATTTAAAAAGCAACATAAGAAGCAATATGGGCACTGAGGAAAGAAACAACTTTAGAAAGTCAGCTAAAATAAAGTGTGGATTTTTATATGTTAATTGTAGGCCTTGTACATTAGCCAAGTTCATGTGATGTATACACAATGAAAACATTGTATAGGTCTCTCCATTGTATGTCTACTTTTATTCATTATTAAATATTAATACTCTGTACATCTAAATACATTTTGCTGAGACCTTTTTATAGTGTTCCAAATTGCATCAGAACATATACACACCACATGCAGAGCTATACAAAGATAACTGCATCTGCACATTCACATGCTATATATACACGTGTTCACAAAATCATACATATAGGCATACAAGCATGCTCGCTCCATGCATCAAATATGCATCTGCAAAAACATATACATAAGCACTTTACTTATATTCTGAACACTCAACATATTTATCTCCTGTTGTAAAGATATTAATCACTAACTCAGATAAATGGAATGATGCACAGATCTCTTGTAATAGTGCAGTAATACATACCCCCTGAAGTACAGTGTTGTTGTTTTCTGGATCCTGGAGTTGTACAGCTTATAGTTTGACAGATTGTAAACTCTACACATCTCTTTTTGGACATATTTGATTATTATTCCTCATCTTTTAATTAAAGAGACAAATATTTTAGGTTTGCTGAGCTGGTCACTTCTTTGATATGAATTCTGTAGCTGAAAAGAAGATTAAGACCCCCTGCAGTGTAGCAAGTTTGGTACGATGAATAATTTATTCTGAAGTATAATATATCAGGGAAGTAATTTAAGTAAGCCTGCAACTTATGCAGATAATGAATTAAGTGATCCTGGAGCACCTGATTGACATTTCCTAATTCAGTTATGTACAAAAATTCTACTTGTATCACAGATCAGTTGGTATATATAAAATATTATAGTACACTTACATCTTACTGTATGTCTGAAGTGTATACAATTGTCCCAACTTCCTTTAAATATTCAGAATAAGATTCTTTTATACTTATTGTATGGGTAGGTGTAAGTTTGCCTCCTTTTATATTTTATCTCAATGATCATTATTTGTTTTAAATGGAATATAAAACCTCAGTTACAGTATGAAACCTTTATAACCTTTATCACAATATCTAGGTTTCCTAACAGTTTGGGGGAATGTACCAGTTTGCCAGAATAAATACCCGCCAGTGCCCTCTGCCTCCCTCCAAATGTATGCAGGCCATGCTTCATGGCAGATTAAAATGTCCACAGCAGAATGTGAGAAGCAGGGCTGGCCCTAAACCAAATGGAACCCCAGGCTAGGAGTGTCTTCATTTGTTAAACTTCTGAATACCATTTAAAGATTCCACGAGATTCTACAAAGATCTAGGAGGTTAATGAAAAATGAATCCACATATGGAATAACTGAAACATTTTACTTCAAACATTTTACTTTCCTTTCTGTTGCTAACAACAAAAACAGCACCCTGAGCTCGACACCTCCTAAGGCCAGCACCCCAGGCGGTCGCCTGGGTTGCCTGCCCTGAAATATGGCAGCGGTGAGGAGAGAAATGGCATGATCCAGAATTGATACCATGGCAGTGAAATCCAGAATTCTTAGAACTGTGACTCCTTTAGTAAATTCTGTAGGTGCTAAAATGGAGGAGACTCTCATGTGTTAGAATGTCCCCATATATGTCAGAGAATTGAGTTGCTTTCATTATGAGAATTAGTCCTAAAGCAGTGCATCACTGGTGAGGGGGAGGGGAGACTGTTTTTTTCCGGTATTAAATTATTACGTTTAAAGGATAAAGCTTGACATGCCATCTCTATTAGTCCCATAAGAACTGGTAGGTATGGTTAAGTGTACATGGCTTAGCTTTGGACTTAGGGGCAAATCATGCCACACCTCCTCAGGTACAAATCATTCCCAATGGGTCATCTGCAGGGTGGTGTGTGTGTGTAGAGCCTGTAAATGGGGTGCACATCCCCTGCACACTGTGGAGCTTCATGGGAGCTCCATGGGAGCTCCCTCCACTGCTAGTGCCCAACAGCTATACAGTGATGGGTAGGGATAGCTCAGTGGTTTGAGCATTGACCTGTTAAACCCAGCGTTGTGAGTTCAATCCTTGAGGGGGCCACTTAGGGATCTGGGGCAAAATCAGTACTTGGTCCTGTTAGTGAAGGCAGTGGGCTAGACTTGATGACCTTGGTCCCTTCCAGTTCTAGGAGATAGGATATCTCCATTAATTAATTAATTTAGTTATTTATTAAAAGAGGTGGGTGGGTCAGGGCCAAGCAGCATGGGTATTCATCAGTCATTATCCCCATATGACCACTGAGGCTACTGCAGTCCTGAGGCTGAAACAGCAGCTACAGACACCTGCCCATTTATACCCAGGTTAGTTATCTGGCTGGGCATTGAGGTCAGGATTAGCCCTAATACATTACTAGTCCTTACTGCCCTGATAAAGAATTGACACATTGGACCTAACTTTATGATAAAATTAAATAATACAAAAATTAAAATCCTTCTCTTTGTTGAATTTGTTTAAAAAAATACATTTGGTACCCACTGTGAATGTGTTGACGACAATGCATAGGGTTGCCATCCGGGATGATCCCACCCAAGCCCATACAACTGGACAGCTGGCAGCGTGTACTGAGCACCCTTACAGATTTCCTAGGGCAGCTACCTCAAAAAAGGACAATCCTGGGAAAACCTGGACAGGTGACAACCTTCTGTAACAGACATGTTAGAATCCTCATTCATCCATTTAATGAGACTTTTGGGGGAAGAAATGTGATGGTGCTATATGAAGGCCAATGGCAATGTCTCTGCTCCATATTCCATATCCTCCTGGAGAGGCTTCAGACACCTGTCATCTTTGGGAAGGTTGTTAGTAGCCAACTCTTCTTTCCTACATACTCTACAAAAACATTGTGGATACCCCTCCCCCAAATTTTAAATATAGCACAAAACACCGCTGCACAAATTGCATGGTTATGCTATTTTATACTGCCATCTCCTGGTGCAGCAGTTCACTTTAACTAAAATGAGTGAAAACAGGAATCTGCTAGGTGGCAGCACTAAAACGAAAACCAAATCCTTTTTAATATCAAGTTTTCTTCTTTACTAGTTTTGACTGCTTTCTCCTTGTTAGCTTTCAACTTTAACCTACGATGAGGAAGACTCCAGAGGGCAACGTGATGGTAAATTACACGTTTTACAGTCTTATTGCACGGGTTACTCAGGTAAGAGTCATTTTACGTTCAATCTTACTGGATGGAAAACATAAATCACATCTCGGCTATACCGCGTTTCACGTTCCTATTAGCAGAATGCAAATTGCAAAGTGAAACGAAATGTAAGGAAGAACGGAGCAGTGAAATGATTTAATTAAAAGGGGTTAGCTAGAATGTACCGATTAAATGCTTGAAAATTACTCTTATGAAAGCAGCAAGGTTTTGGGGCTTGATTTAACAGGAAAAAGATTTGCTTTGCCCAATAGGAAGAGTTAGCAAGACTAAAGGGAAGTCAAAGTGGTCTTCGAATCCGAGTAAAGTGATAGGATTATCTGCGTGCAACATAAGGACTGATTCTGCTGTGTAAAATGCAACCAAGAGGGTTTAGAGCAGTATATTTATTTTGTCTTATAGTGGGGTTTCTGAAGATATTAAACTGTATTCATTAGTCTGAATTTTTGCTTGAAATTTGACTAGTGTTTCTGTGTATTGGCAAAGGTCTCATGTCTGAGCAATGTGAAATAAAAATCCCCAAATTAGGGTTGCCAACCCTCCAGGATTGTTCTGGAGTCTCCAGGAATTAAAGAGTAATCTTTAATTAAAGATTATGTCATGTGATTAAATCTCCAGGAATTCGTCCAACCAAATTTGGCAACCCCCAGTGGATGCTTAGGTCAGGGAGGTCTGGGGAGATTATTGCTTAGAATAATAGAAATAGAAATGTTTCAGAGTAGCAGCCGTGTTAGTCTGTATCCGCAAAAAGAAGAACAGGAGGACTTGTGGCACCTTAGAGACTAACAAATTTATTAGAGCATAAGCTTTCGTGGACTACAGCCCACTTCTTCGGATGCAGTCCTCCTGTTCTTCTTTTTGCAGAAATAGAAATGAGCTGTGCAATCATATGTCCTTTGCTATTTTGGAGGAAGGTTCTTTTTCTCTTGTCATATGAGTCAGTGCAGACAAATGGATATTTTTAGGGACAGAAAATATTTTAAAAAGGCATAATCTATAAAAAGAGCATTTGTTAGCAGCTGTTTGCAGGTTCAGGACCTTAGATTGCAAATTCTTCAGGATGGGGACTGCCTCTTTGTCACACAGCACAATGGATCTCTGGTGCAAACCGGGACATCTGAGTGCGATTGCACTGTAACTATTAAAGACTAGTAAGTTATTACTAATAAAATTTTACTAAATTATAAAGTGATATTGTGATTGCGCATCCCTTGTAAAAGAAACCTTGTCTTAATTACTATTAAATTTTAGGTTTCAGAGCGGTAGCTGTGTTAGTCTGTATCAGCAAAACCAACGCGGAGTCCTTGTGGCACTTTAGAGACTAACAAATTTATTTGGGCATAAGCTTTCATGGGCTAAAACCCACTTCATCAGATGCATGGAGTGAAAAATACAGTAGGCAGGTATAAATATACAGCACATGAAAAGATGGGAGTTGCCTTACCAAGTTGGGGGTCAGTGCTAACGAGGCTAATTCAATCAGGGTGGATGTAGCCTATTCCCAACAGCTGACAAGAAGGGGTGAATATCAACAGAGGGGAAATTACTTTTTGTAGTGCTAACGAGGCCAATTCAATTACGATGGATGTAGTCCATTCCCAACAGTTGACAAGAAGGTCTGAGTATCAACAGAGGGAAAATTACTTTTTGTAGTGACCCAGCCACTCCCAGTCTTTATTCAGGCCTAATTTGATGGTGTCAAATTTGCAAATTAATTCCAGTTCTGCAGTTTCTCATTGAAGTCTGTTTTTGAATTTTTTTTGTTGAAGAATGGCCACGTTTAAGTCTGTTATTGAATGTCTAGGGAAATTGAAGTGCTCTCTTACTGGTTTTTGAATATTGCATTCTGGATGTCTGATTTGTGTCCATTTATTCTTTTGCGTAGAGACTGTCCAGTTTGGCCAATGTACATGGCAGAGGGGCATTGCTGGCACATGATGGCATGCAGGTGAACGAGTCCCTGATGGTGTGGCTAATGTGGTTAGGTCCTATGATGGTGTCCCTTGAATAGATATGTGGACAGAGTTGGCAACGGGGTTTGTTGCAGGGATTGGTTCCTGCGTTTGTGTGGTGTGTAGTTGCTGGTGAGTATTTGCTTCAGGTTGGGGGGCTGTCTGTAAGTGAAGACTGGCCCCTCTCCCAAGGTCTGTGAGAGTGAGGGATCATCCTTCAAAATAGGTTGTAGATCCTTGATGATGCGCTGGAGAGGTTTTAGTTGGGGGCTGTAGCTGATGGCTAGTGGCGTTCTGTTACTTTCTTTGTTGGGCCTGTCCTGTAGTAGGTGACTTCTGGGTACCCTTCAGGTGGGTATTGTCATTTTAAGAACGCTTGATAGAGATCCTGTAGGTGTTTGTCTCTGTCTGAGGGATTGGAGCAATTGTGTTTGTATGCAGGAACGGCGAACCGCAGCCACTAGGAGCTGTGGGTGGCCATGCCTGTGGATGGTCAGTGTAAACAAACTGTCTTGCAGCCCGCCAGCGGATTACCCTGACGGATCGCGTGCGGCCTGTGGGCTGCAGGTTGCCCATCACTGGTCTAAACCATGCAAGACAGATGGTTATCCTACCTCCTTTTGAAAACCTCCAGTGAAGAAGCTTCCACAAATTTAAGTAATAGGGATTTGCTCAGTGTAATTTTTAGGGTGTTTATTCTGCTCTTCAGGCATATGTGTTACTCCTGGGTGGGGAGAACAGAAGTTACACACCTGTACCAATGAAAGAATATATCTCCTCAATATTTATTCCACTCTAGATGCATCCAAAGAAGTGGTCTGTAGTCCACGAAAGCTTATGCTCTAATAAATTTGTTAGTCTCCAAGGTGCCACAAGTACTTCTGTTCTTTTTTTTTCATATTTACTGTTATTCTAAGAATTGGCTTGGATTGTTAATCTGCATAACATTGATTTACATTTTTTTCTTCCTCCTGCAGTGAATGGAAAAGGATTTATATATGTGCGATCCAGGTACTGAAAAATACCAATAGGTTGTTTGCACACACTCAAGGTGTTAAGGCTGGGCCACTACTATTAAAGGTGAGTCAGGCTTTCCAGTCTACGTTCACTTTTGTATGTTTAACTGTATTAGATTCAGATGTAAAAACCACCTCTTATGGCAGTTTGAATTAAAACCATCTTGATGCCTTCTAAGAGGGAAGAAATTTCCCCACCCTCTAAGCTGTTTCTTCCATATCCAACCTGCCTTCAGCAAGGGAAGTGGGGAGATGAAGGTCTGCGTGGCTGGTTTCTAGCCCATGTGAAACCAGACATGGCTCTCCATGTCCACCTTCACTTTCTCCTATTCCTTTGCAGTGGCTGGCACTTCTTATTTTGTTTTTTGAAGGGAGGTTTTTTGCTTGTTCTGTGTCAGGGGTGAGGCATAATGTCTACAGTGTTACAGTGTGGGGCATGCCCATCTGTGCCCCTCCTGACCCCTCTGTTCATTAATGCAGAATTACAGAGAGGTTGCATGCTCCTTATTCAGTCCCTCCCCACCATTATTTTTGGAGGACACAGCTGTCTGCTCCCCTTCTATCTCTGGGTGGCATAATGGCGTCTATCCTTCCCTTCTCCCATTGTTGATGCAGGATGTTGTTGGTAGGAGTGCTTGATCCTTTCCGTACTCTAGGGGCCTCTGGTGATGTTCCCCATTGCACCACGGCTGCTGAAGAATTTTTCTTTTCAGCATTTGAAATACTTGCTCCTTCCTGTCTCAGGAGCCCTAACCCTTGTAATAACACCTGAGAGGGAGCCCATCAGGGTTCCCTCTTGGCAGCCAGAAGTGTCTGGGAGCTCCTAACTCTCCCCCTCCCTTATTGTAAATAAACCCATAGAAGCTACAAGTGCCGCTTATCCTTATTTATTACACAATAAGGGTCTGGCACATGTCAACAGTTTAACTATTTTTTTTATGTAAAAATGGTTTGATTTTTAAAACTCTGGAAATTTGCCAGGAATTAATTCCTAATGGGGCCGGAGTCCATTTTGCTATTTTGAAAAATGTTTTGCAGCACCTAAGATTTTTAACTTTTGAAACTACCTTTTCATATTGTGTTTATATCAACATTTAAAACTCCCAATTCTGATGAATAGGAGAAAAATTCTATTCACTTCAGTGGGGTGTTTGTGTCACTTGTTGAGGATTTCTGACATGAATTTGTGGCACTAAGAGACTGACATAATTTTCTGAATTGCTTGGCTTAGTTTGACTGTATTGGAAGACCTAACAGCTGGGGATTTTAAATGACCAGCCTTCTGCAAAGGTTCCAAGAAATAACCTATATTGTAAGTCCCCTTTTTGTGAAGGGGACACAAAAAACTTGTTCATCTTTTTTAACTTCCATTTTTGATCAGATGGCATTAAAACTTGTTACTGTACTTAGACTGTGTACAGACAATTGATTGGTTACAAGAGAGTTATATTTATAAACCCAAGTGTCAGCATCAAAGTCAGGCGTTGCAATGCCTGATATCTTCTTGGCTGTAATATGCTGAATCAGATGAGGGGCTTTGTGGCTCAGGATAGTGGTGTTGTGTGTTATATGGAAGAAACAGCTTAGAGGGTGGGGAAATAGAAGAAGCAAGGATGAAAGAAAAAAAATACAACCAACTAACCCAGAACTCAACATGAAATTGACCAGAATACACACACAAACTTCAGTTCTTGGGGGATTTGTGATTTTCAACTTCCCAACTCTTTGTGGAGAACTATTCCTTGAGAAACAGTTTCAAATGTTGGCAACTATGAAAGGGGACAGGGTTGGATGTGGTGAGATGTCCGTGTTATGCAAACTTTCCTTGCTGAGTCCTCACCTTGGGTGAGATTCTCACTCCTGCACCAATTGCTCTATGCTGAATAAAGGGGCCAGAGTAGTATAAAGGGGCCTAAAAGCCCCAGGTCCAGCTGGGGGAGAGCTCCTTTGGAACAAGAGCTGGGGGAAGAGAGCTGTAGGCTGTCCTCCTAGGACCCTTCTCAAGCCCATATGTAGGGGTTGTGCTGGGGAAATGGCTGCGTCTGGGAGAGGAATGTTTGGAGTGAGGCATGTGGGAAATTCTGGGCAGCACTACTGCTCAGGGAGTCTACCATAATGTAGACAGACCTCCAGGGCTTCCTGGGGGACACTTCAGCCATCAGAGCAGTCCAGAATCGGGAGCGTGCAAAGCTGGTTTAAAGCTACTCTAGCTTCCCACCTGGGCTGTCTGTACCGTGCCTCTTAAGAGATGGAAGCCTGAAACTTACTCCTTTAATGTAACTGAACATTTTATTCTGGTTTCATGGTAGTAATCCTGTACACTTCTGTTCGCCTCCCTCCAGAATTTTAAATAAATGAATTTTAAACAATTTATTGAATTTGCTAATTTATAGTTTTTTTTTAGCTAGATCTTTTAACTAAATAATTAGATATTCCTACTTGGGCAGGTTATTTATTTTTTTTAAGCTCTAACTATTTAAAAATAAACATCCATATTCTTCATTTAGTGTCCAGTAGCTGTGCATAATGACTGTTTGTTTCCCCCCCCCCCAGATGCTAAACAGTGGACATACAGTACTACAAAGATATTTGCAGAAGCTGATCCCTATGGCAGCTAGGGGACTGTTGCACACGAAAAACTCACGTCTTTACAATATGAATTGTTTCTGGCTGATTAGATTTTCAAGAGAGATTGTGCTCAGACCTGTGTCTTCTAGGCACTTCTATCTGAAGACAGAGAGTGCTAATGCAGTCTCATGCCAGGAGAATGGCAATCTAGTAAGCAAGCTGGCATGTATGGGAGTGGATGTCAAAATGGTGAGAAGGCGACAACCTGGAATTCTGAAGAAGCTGATCACAAATGAAGAGGGCCTCAAAGGGTTTCTGCAAAGCAAAGGGGCTACTAATGAAGTCATTGCCAGCATCATCTCACGTTATCCACGGGCCATCACGCGTTCCTATGAGTCTCTCGAAAAACGTTGGGAACTTTGGAGAAGTATTTTGATGACTGATTTGGAAATTGTAAATATTCTGGGACGTTCTCCTGAGTCCTTCTTTCGTTCCAGTAATAACATCAATATGGAGAAAAATATTACACTTTTCTGTTCTCTTGGGCTAACCTCTAAACACCTTTGCAATATGTTGACCAGAGCACCTCGGGTGTTTTCTAACGGAGTGGAGCTGAATAAGCAGCTGACTGACCTCCTGCATGAGATCTGTTTATCTTTAGGTGGTGAAAACCCAAATGATTTTGTGAAGCACATCATTTCTAAAAATGTCTTCATCCTCCTGCGGAGCAGCAAGCAAGTGAATGCAAATGTTGAGTTCCTGCAATCATCTTTCCATCTGAGCAATGAGGAATTACTAGCTCTGCTACATGGCGGTGGAGCTGACATTTTGGACTTATCTAATGAATATATGAAAAAAAACTTTACAAATGCTAAAGGGAAGCTGTTATCTCTTGGGTGCACTGAAAGAGAGGTGGATAGATTTTTCATTAGCTATCCAAGTGTGCTCTTTCTTTCATCCAAGAACCTCAGTGATAAAATAGATTGCCTCTTGCAAGCAAAGGTTCACATTAAACAAATAGTTGAAATGTCTCGCGTTCTGGATATAAGTATCAGTACTATAAGAAGCAAAGTCAAGGAACTGGAAAAAACTAGTTATGACTTCAGAACCAATGGAATTGGCATTCTTTCTTTAAGTAAAAAGAGATTTGAAGCTAAATTGGAAAAATTACATAGTGCACAGCGATTAATCAAGAGGACAGAATCCATTCTGTGAGAATACAGGGTCAGATTTTGAAATTAAAAAACTTGAAAAAGGGTCCTGTTTTGTTATTCTGAAACTTATTTCAAAATAATTTGTGGTTAGTTAGCACTGCTTATTTAGGATAAGTAAATTCTCAGCGATCACTAGCAGGGTGCTATAGGGTGACCAAGAGAACCGTTTGGTGTGTTGCTTACCAGTTGTGATGGTAGTGGATCACAGATATTGAAAAGAGTGAGACTGGTTTAGAGTGTACACCAGTTGGAGGAGATAATAGAGGTATGCAGAATAATGAATGGTACAGAGAAGATAAGTCAGATATACTATTTGCCCTTTCTTCCATACAAAAGCAAGGGATCATTCATACCCTCGATTCTGGAACTGGCTTAGCACAGGCTAACCCAGGGGTAGGCAACCTATGGCACGTGTGCCGAAGGCGACACACAAGCTGATTTTCAGTGGCACTCACACTGTCTGGGTCCTGGCCACCAGTCCAGGAGGTTCTGCATTTTAATTTAATTTTAAATAAAGCTTTTTAAACATTTTAAAAACCTTATTTACTTTACATCTATAATATATAACTAAACTATTGACTTATAGAAAGAGACCTTCTAAAAATGTTAAAATGTATTACTAGCACGCGAAACCTTAAATTAGAGTGAATAAATGAAGACTCGGCACACCACTTCTGAAAGGTTGCCGACCCCTGGTAACCATTGCATCCATTTGAAACCCCATTGCAGGAGCCAGTTGTTGGACTGGGGTATTCTATTTCTTTACATTGCTTCATCTTATCAGATAAGTAAGATCTAGGAGCCTGTGTCCTTGATAAATACATTGAAAGGTCTGTTGATAAGGATTGGTATAAATGTAGTCTTTATGATAGAAGCATGTCTCTGTAAGCCTATAAAATCTAATAATATGAAGTGTTGGCTTCAATCTAACAGGCATACTTAGAAGGGCAGCTTCCTTTACAACAGTTAGTAAAGGGATGTGACATCAAAGTATTGTCCACAGCCTAATGAATTGATGACAGATGAGTCATTAAATGCTACAGAAGTCTCTCAGATGAGGACAAATGTACTTGGCATTTGCAAATCATAGATACTTTAAGGAGGTAGCTCCTAAATACAGAAAACTAACGTGACATTATTCCTTGAAGCATAATACAAACTGATTTTGATCTTAAGAACAGGTAATTCTGTTTATTTCAAGTTTATAATGACACATTTTCCCCACCTAATTACATGAAATAAGGATTTATATATGTTTACATATGTATGCTTTTATGTTTCTTACCCTTTGATCACACATCTAGTCCTCTTGCTTTAACTAGGTGTAAGTAAGTGTCTATTTTTTTTCACTCCCTCCTTTGCAGGAAGAGGGTGAAGTCAAAGAACCTGGATCCTCATTCTGAAGTCTAAGAAAAAATTCAGTAGGTACCTGCTTGTATTTGCAGGTTTTGGCACTTAAATTTGATCTTGAATTCTCAGGGTCCTGGGAAATGTACATTTTATTTGAGTATAAATTTAAATGTTTACAAGAGAAGCATTACTTACTGATTTAGATTTTCAGTAGAGATTGCACTCAGATCTGTGTCTTCTAGGCATTTCTGTCTGAAGATAAAGTGCTGATGCAGAGTCATGTCAGGAGAATGGCATTCTAGTAAACAATCTGGCATGCATAGGAGTGGTTGTCAGTGGATGTCAGAATGGCAAGAAGGTGACAACCCAGAGTTCTGAACATTAAGATTACTTCTGGTTAAATTAACAAAGCTTATTTATTTTTCTGCTATGTTTCTACAATTATTCCTCCCTTCTTAGGAACTGTGATAGGGTGCTCGGAGGGCCAGGTGTCCTAGTGGTTGGCACATCTGACTTCTGGCCTCTTGCCCCATGTGTGGAATACATTATAAGGTAATGTGTGGATGTGTGCCACCAGTAGAAACAAAAAACCTAGATACTCCAGCCAGGACAGGTTAGGCATTTTAAAACTCACTACTCAAAGAATTAAATTTAAGTGTGAGAGAAATAAAAATTATGAAATGCACAGACCAGTCAAAAAGCAAAAATAACATACTTTTAAAGAATAAAATTACAGTGAATATATGTGCTTTGCAGGAAGTACCAAGAAGTAACAACAAAACAACAAAAGTATGTGTTGGGAGGTGAGTGGGAAATGCTGTGTGTGTGTGTGTGTGTGTGACACAGAGACAGTGTGTGTGCTGGCTGCTGGGGAATTTTCTGAGACACACCATGCGCTGTTTCTTTAGAGCATTAACCGAAAGCTCTCCCGTTCTGTGGAGATGGGATACATGGTGATGAGGAGACTGACTGTGCGTGTGCGTGTGTGTGTGTGTGTGTGTGTGAGAGAGAGAGAGTGTGTGAGTGGGCTGCTGGGGAAGTCTCTTTAATAACTCACTCACCCAGAAGGCTCATTCAGACCACAGCAGCTCTCTTCTGCTCAAGTCCTGAGCCCTGTCCCCTCTCCCCTGTTCTCTGGAGATGGGATACAGGGGCAGGGGGAAGGAGACGCCCTGACATCAGCACCCCCTCTGCTCTGCACAGCCAGCAGGAGGGTCCCGGGAGCAGCTGCAGGAGCAACATGGCTGCAAAGCAGCAGGGTGGGGGGGGGAGGGGCACCTGAACACATGCTGGCAGATGTGCATGGCTCTGCTAATCAAGTGCATGGTCCTTGAATCACTCCTGGGTGGCCGCCCTACTCCGCAGCTTAGAGGGAACACAGACAGTGACAGTCTCCCATACAATAGCTTGAACAGGAGAAGCCTGTGGATGCTTGGGGCACCTTATGGATGGTGAACAGGAGAGGTGGGAGCAGGCTGTCCCAGTGTTGGGTGATCAGTGACTACAAACTTTGTCAACATGTTCTTTAATGTCTTGTTGAAGCATTCCACCAATCTGTTGGTTTGAGGATGATATACAGACATTTTCAAAGACTTGACCTGTAGCAGGCCACAAAGCTCTTTAATTAAATTGTGAGGTAAAGTTGGTTTCCTGATCCCTTAGCATCTCCTTGGGGATCCCCAGGCAGGAAAAAACCTTCAGGAGCTCACTGGTGATGACAGCTGCAGTTGGTCAGAGAAGGATGCTTCGCGGTATCAGGTGGCATAATCTAGGATCACCAGGATGTATTTTTTTTCTGGCTGCAGACTTTTCTAACGTGCCCACCAGGTCCCTGGGTATTCTTTTCAAAGGACACTCCTATAATGGGCAGTGGTACCAGAAACGCCTTTGGGATGTTTTTCTGACCTGTCCACTGGCACTGGGGGGTGAATGTAACTCTAAGTGGATGCCCGGCCAGTAGAACCATATAGTCACTCTGTCGAGTGTCTTTTCTCTCCCCAAGTACCCTATGCATGGTATTGGATGGGCCAGTTGGAATACCCCCTTTGGAACTACCAGATGGATTCCCACTCTTCTTCCCCCCCTCCCCTTGGAATCTTTCATGGCCTGGTATGTCTTTCCTCAACCAGCTCATGGGGCCACTATTTCAAGAGTTGGGGGGTCTAGTACTATGCTGTACACATGGGCAATCTGTTCATAAATCTGACCCAAGGTTGGGTCATTGTTTTTCTACAAAGTCCAGTCTCACCTGCCAGTACATCCACATTGAAGGGCAGTGGTGGACCTTACTGCCCTGGTTAGGCACTGATGAGTGGTCATTGTACCCTCCCTCACTGGGACTGGGTATCCCAGTTCCCCGGGACCCCATTAGCTGGATTTGGGGGTTGGTAGTATGTGGTCCCTGGGGCTTGCTGGGCTGGCCTTTAGTGTTTCTGCTTTGGACCCAAGGGACGTCAGCTAGCCCTTTGTTCTTTGCTAGCCCAACGGCTTCTGCAAGCATTTTGAGACAGTACCTCACCACGCATTCACACCCACCTCACCCATGGGGAGGATCTGCATGAAGTGCTCCATGACAACGTTCTCCATCACCTGAACCCCACTGCAGCCCTATGCCTACAGCCACTTCCAGCAATGTTCTTTCAGATTCTAGGTGACAGCCTTGGGCTGAGCCCCAAGCAGGAATTCCTAGAAGCAGAACCACTGCTGGTGGCTTATGGGAGATATGTTTAGGGTGTCCAGGACAGCTGCCTTGACTTGGGTGTAATCCTAAGCAGGCACCACGAGGCCCTGGTACGTGGCCTGGGTCAGGGCCCTCAAGTAGAGGGCTAGTAGGGTGGCCAAGCTTTCCACTGACCATTGAACCCTAGTGGTGACTTTCTCAAACATGACGAGGAATGCCTCTGGGTTGTTCATGGGCCCCATCTTTGTCAGTTTCACCAGCTTTGATGGCATTGGGTGGCACTTCCCTTTCCATTAGTGAGACTTGCTGCTGCCCTAGGTGGCTGTAGGAGCATCGTCATCTGCTGGATGAGCCACTGCTGCTGTACCATCATTTCTTTAATCAGCTGCTGTTACTGCTGTTGGAGGCTGGATGGCGAGCTGCTGGAGCAGTTGGTTTTGCCGCTGCTGTTGTTCGGCTGCCTGCTATTGTTGGTTTTCCAAGACCCAGGCCAGCAATGTCTCAAAATCCATTTTTGCCCCCCCCATCGGTCGGTCTCTCTCTCTTTTTGTCCTACTTTCAGGACTAGGACTCTGCTACCCACATTCTCCACCACCTAGGATAGGGGGCTTGGAGTGCTGAGTGGCCTAGTGGTTAGTACACCTAACTTTCAGCCTCTTGCTCCTCTCTCTGGGTGGAAGAGGTGCCTGTTCCTGATCTTAAGCAGGGAATCTTTTACTTTCCACCTGCTTCTGGGCCTCAGGCCCCAGACCTGGGCCCTTCCTCTCTACTGGGTCCCAGTCCAGAGTCCTGGTGAAAAGCAGCACTGGCATGGTCCTCCCTGCAGCAAGTCCCAGTTTGCTTTGCTAGGCTACTTCCTACCAATAGGTCCCTTCAGTTTGGGGCATGGCCCCTATAGTCCAACCAGCTAGTAACTCAGCAAAGAAAGAATCCAAAGAAGCAGGGCCCTGCTGGACCTACAAGTTCTCAGAATGGGAAAGTGGTGGTGGCTAGAGAATGCATTACCTGGGGGTC